TGAGGATGTAAGACCACTTGGGGACAAAGTTTCAATTATCTCAGTGCTGGCACTTTGTGTCTTATGTGTGATTTAAAGTGTAATGTATGTCATGTTGCTATGTAAAAAATTGCACATAAAAATGTTAAAAGAATGCTAAAGGTGCATATTTAAGTACTGAAAAATTAGAAAATGCCAGAATTAAAGTCGCCTTTCCTTATAGGTATGCATTATATTATGGTCTTTAATTACTTGATCACATACTATATTTTTCCACAGAATCTCTGCCTCATGCGGTGCACACAATATCAGAAACTATTCAATAGCTTGTTTCATACTCATTGTTCATTTGTGTGGTCCCAGGCCTTATTTACTGCATGTTATTCAAACCTTGCTCTGAAGAAAGATCATTCATTTCTTTATTCTATATTTGTAATCATGCCGGTCTTCTCACCGTCATATCTGAAGGCCTTCCAGTAGCGCATTAAGCAACATGACTATACATTTATCATGTGATATTTGTTGACTCATTCTCTCTCCAGAAGGAGAAACGTGTAGTGGAGTGTCTTGTTTTGATACAGTGTCAAGTTTGTTTTTCAGAGTGGTAGCCATGTTAGTCTATATCAGCAAAAACAACGAGGAGTCCTTGTGGCACCTTAGAGACTAAAATATTTATTTGGGCATAAGCTTTTGTGGGCTAAAACCCACTTCATCAGATGGCCTAACCACATCAGCCACACCATCAGGGGCTCGTTCACCTGCACATCTACCAATGTGATATATGCCATCATGTGACAGCAATGCCCCTATGACATGTACATTAGCCAAACTGGACAGTCTCTACGCAAAAGAATAAATTGACACAAATCAGACATCAAGAACTGTAACATTCAAAAAGCAGTAGGAGAGCACCTCAGTCTTCCTGGACACTCAATAACAGACTTAAAAGTGGGAATTCTTCAACAAAATTTTTTAAAAAACAGACTTCAACAAGAAACTGCAGAACTGGAATTAATTTGCAAACTGGACACCATCAAATTAGTCCTGAATAAAGACTGGGAGTGGATGGGTCACTACAAAAAGTAATTTTCCTTCTGCTGATACTCACACCTTCTTGTCAACTGTTGGAAATGGAAGACATCCACCTTAATTGAATTGGTCTCGTTAGCACTTAGACCCCAGTTGGTAGAGGCAACTTCCATCTTTTCATATATATACTGCTTACTGTATTTTTCACTTCATGCATCTGATGAAGTGGGTTTTAGCCCATGAAAGCTTATGCCCAAATAAATGTGTTAGTCTCTAAGGTGCCACAAGGGCTCCTCGTTGTTTAAGTTTGTTTTTGTTTTCAATATACCTGTTGCTATATACTTTTATTAGAGAACACAAGGTCAATGTGCCTTTCATTTGAAGTGGAAGGTGGTGAAGTTTGTTATGGTCTTTAGTTTTTGGGAGAGTTCATTCCACAGTCTTGGACCAGTCTCCAAAAAAGTTCTGTCTCCTGCACAGATGAGGTTTACCCTTACTGTAGAGAGTTCCATTCCGCCAGTGAAGCGTAACTGTTGACCTCATTCTTCATACCAGAATTTTAAGTGCTCTTTAAGATATCTGGGGCCTTTCCCATAGGCTTTTCTATGGCACTCAACATTATAAAATGGTGCACTTGACAAACATTAATGAATTCATTTTCATTATAACCTGTGAGGTAAAGTGGTATTATTGTCCATATTTTACAGATGGAGCACTGAAGCAGAGGCAGATTAAAGTTAAAAGTATCCACTAATTTTGTCTGCTCAATTTGAGAAGTTTAGGATCTGATTTTTTCAGCATACTTAGCAAGCAATTTATAGCACTTTATACATTCAAATCACAGATCTCATTGATTTCAACTGCAGCTGTGAATACTCAGTCCCAGGTGTCTGAAGCTGGACATCTGGAAAATGAGGAACATACGATTAGTGCCTACCTGTGAAGAGTTTGGTTTAAGTTATGTGCCTAGCATCACAAAGGAATTCAGGGGCAGGGGTAGAATCAGACTTTTCAGGGATGGTATTCAATTGCCTTAACCATGAAACCATCCTTTCTTATCCTACAATCCTCTGCCTCATTCACTGCACACCTTCTAATTTCTACCACAAATGAGGCTGTGGTCCTAGCGATAACTGTCTTATTTATTATACAACCCTAATTCAGTCCTTGAGCACTGACCATCCGTGACACTGAATGAGTCAGGGGTCCTGTGAAAAAAACACGTTTTTTGATCATGGAAATAAAGACATTATCGTAGTGCATATGCAGAAGAGGGCAAATGAAGGTTATGCAAGCACTTAAGCAACAGAATAACTAATAGGAGTGGTAGGTTTTCCTCCTCTATATGGATCAGCACCAGAGAGGAATGAGGCACATACTTTCCCAGTGGAATTCATATTTTCTAACAGGACAGGAATGGTGGGACTCAAACCTTGGGTTCAATTCCAGGTTCTGAAAGAGAGTGTGTTCTAGTGAGCATATACCCTTCTTTCCTTGTTCCTCCAAGCCTAACACTTTCTGCTTGAATCTGTTTCACTTCAGCCTCTCCATCCACCCAATCCAGCTCTTGCCCCCTCTGTGTTTCACTCAGGCTGTTTCTTCTCTCTTCACAATACTTGGGCACCAGCCACAAAAGCACTGAGAGTACAGAAGAGAGAGATTCCCTGCTCTCAGTTTGGTGACACCGCATCTGGGAGCAGAAATTGCAGGGTAAGTCCTGCTGGCGCCTGAAGATCTGGGATAGAGCATGCCCAAAGCTCATGGAAACTTCAAATAATTTAACTGCCAAACTCTAACAAGTCTCTACTGGGTGTGTGTGAACAGTTCTTTTTCAGAGTCTTATAACTTTAGCCAGATGTGAGGTATTTCTCATGGGAAAAGCAAAACGCACTTGCCTGACGCTAGGATGACTTCCCTGCCAAATTTCAAATGCTTGCCCTAAAGCATGGACATGCTAGAGATTCAAATGTTGAATTAACAATTTAGTAGAGGTAAATCTATGTATTTTTCCCCTTACCACATTCTCAGCCCTGGTCTACACTAGACAGTTAGGTCAGTTTAACTACATCAGCCAGAAATGTGAAAAATCCACATCCCTAAGAGGGTGTTAAAATGACCTAATCCCTGTTGTAGATAGCAGTAGGTTGATGGAATAATTCTTCTGTTGACCTAGCTATTGCCCTTAGGGAGGTGGATGACCTATGCTCAGAGGAGAACCCCTCCTGTCAATGTAGGTAGTGTCTACACTCAAGCACTACAGCAGCAAAGCTACAATGACACTGCTGTAGCATTTTAAGTGTAGACATATCCTCAGAAATAGCTGAACTGTTAAAACTGACACTTTCCAGAAAATAAAATAAAATGAAATGAAAATCAATATAAGGCATATACCTGTCATGGAAAATTGAAGGCTGAGTGATTAAAGTTTGGCAAACAACTTAAAATAGTCTTCTGAGGGAAGTGCTGGTCAACCTGAAGTATAGGTGGTGCTACCTATCTCTGCCTATATTAACATTCCCTTTGGCTTCTTATAGATTTATTTCTTCGAAAACTCTAGCAGTTTTCATAGGTATCTGCACACTAGTGTCTTTCAAGTCAACAGCAGTTATTATTTTAAAAGATAAAAGCAAGAATATAACTGTGCATGACATATGACTATATGCTCTGTCCCGCCCGCCCGCAATTAAAACTTCACAGCTGGGAAATGACAGTAAATCTTATCTTTCCCAGAGATAGAGTCTTCACCATTTCATATCTGCAACAGAAAACTTCCTCTGCTAGTAACAGAATGCTGACAAGAAACCTGTGGGAATTCGAATCACTAGGAGAAAATTCAGAAAATACAGTGGATGTTTATAAAAGGAGATTTGTAATGACACCATGTAGCACTGTATAGTGCCACTGTAACCTCCGTTAAAAAAGTACAAATAAATTCTGAGTTCTGTTTTCCAAAAAATAAAACCTCTGGAGCAACTGAAGTTGGAATTACTTCACTGTGAAACTCAGCAAGGGCACAAATATTCCCCACAGAACTACACAATAGAGAGCTATGTATAAGGGAGGGGAGGGAGGAGGGGGCATTCTAGCACCATTTTAAGGGGCTGTTTTATTAGCAATCACAGATTCTATAGGTCTCAGAAAGATAATGCCTTCTACTAAGTCTGATAAATTGGACTCTGTTGAGATGAGAGGGAATTTTAAGAATAGACTGCATTGACCTCTCATTCAGAATTGGAAAGACTCAGCTTTGCTTCATGTTGGGAATCTGATCATTGAAAAGCTAATATGCCTGATCCCCAATTTCAATATACAAATGAAAGCTTCATTCTTTTACTGAGGGCAGGTTGGAAGATTATGAATAATATTTTAAATTGATCCTAGTTTTGATTATGATTTAATTTATGTTTATTTTATTATAATGATGATGATGGGTATATTTGTACCCCCCTTTTTTACTCTCTTCATTCCCATAACTGATTGTCTATACAGATTTTGAGATCCACAAAGGTATCTTCACCTGGGCCAATTCATCTTTCATTTCTTCTTACAGGTCTCCCCAGAACTGTGTGTACAGCTGTGCCCTCTTGTTCCAATCTGTATGGCTGTGAGGTGGCCGAATTGCACTGCACAGAGTCTACAGTCCCCTGCCCCAGTCAGAGCTTTCTTAGGGCAGCCTCTGCAGTTCACACTTGATGCAGATCATCAAATGGCTTGAAAGAAGACAGAAGAGTCTAATGCTTTACCAGAAGTCAGGCTGATAACCAGGCTCACCTTTGCATGATCAGTAGTGTAGGACTGAGGATGCATCATGAACAGGAGGTGGCACTGGATTATAAAACCCCAGAATTTCTGGCGATTACCATCAAACCATTCTGGCAGATGTATCAAGAAACAGCGCTCTGTGAGATGTGTCTGGAGTGCGATGTGTTTGGAATGCAACTGTCTCACCTGCTCCTGCAATAGCTGGTTCTCTGAGGTCAGCTGGATGACCCTGGTCTGCAGGAGTTTGTTGACCACCTGAAGGTGAGTGGCCCACTCAAGCATGTACAGTACTCCCAAAGGATTAACCAGGTCCATTTTGCCATCACTGGACCCTCTCCTCTGGCCTAAGTGGTTCATGCAAACTGTCATGGCCAGGAATTCGGTGGTCAGACATAATGAGCAGGAGTTGGGAGTCAGGCCAGAGCAGATACGAGGAGATCAGAATCCGAGATATGCCGGAAGGTAGAATGAGGGTTAGTTGTCAGGAGGCAGTCAGGGTCAGGTTCCTAGGAGATCAGAGTAAGGCAGTAGGAGTACATATTGCAGGGGAAGCAGTTCTAAGCAGGAGAAACCCATCTGCATGGATGATTTCCTGTTCCGGTGCTCAGTTTAAATGCAAACAGGGAACCAATCAGGACACCCAGAATCCTTCCAGTCAGATCCCAGGATTGGAGTCCTCTGACAGTTCTGGAAACTGTTGGCAGGTTGGAACTTACTGGATCCTGGGAATCCTGTAGTCAGGGCCAGCTCCAGGGTTTTGCCCGCCCCAAGAAGCCAAAACAAAAAACAAAACAAACAAAAAGAAGCCGTGATCGCGATCGCGATCTGCGGCGGCAATTCGGCGGGAGGTCCTTCACTCCCAGGTGGAGTGAGGGACCATCCGTCGAATTGCCACTGAATACCTGGACGTGCCGCCCCTCTCCAGAGCGGCCGCCCCAAGCACCTGCTTCAGAATCTGGTGCCTGGAGCCGGCCCTGCCTGTAGCTCAGGATGTGACATCCAAAGTCCCTAGTAACTGGTTAGTCTGGGACTCAGGAGACTTCGGTTCAATTCAGTGCTCCACCTGAGTGACCGAAGGCATTCCTGTCTCTTTGTGTCTCAGTTTCCTGTTTCTCAAATGGAGATGATACTACACATCATCATCGTGTGTGTGTGTGTATGTGTGTAAATACCTTAAAGATTGTGAGGTGCTCAAACACCATGGTGTTGGGAGCCATATAAGTACCACAGTACAACTACATATATTCCTTCAATGTGGGACCCTCAAGCAAGTCCATTTGTCATTAATAGATGCTGCAGTTCATTTTGCAGGCGTGAAAAGACTGTGGATAAGCAGACACTACAAGCCTGTTTGAAATCACATGAAAAAACGGTGGTCATTTTATCACTGTAGCATCTTTGAAAAAAAGCTGGAAAATCCCTGATTGAGCTGCAGAAAACCATGCTAAAACATCAGCTAATGCCGCAGGTTACAACTCATTGAAAATCTACTTATTATGTGCTTGAATGACCCTGGAAACGAGAAAGCTGAATACATAAGCAAGTACAAGACAGACAAGGCAGATATTATCCTGACCTCTGCTCATTCTAATCTGATAGCCATTTTGGTTATCTTTTCCATTCATCTGAAATGGTCACCTGAGAAGTCAATTCATTCATGTATCATTATGTTAGGGCTTAGAACACATTTAGCAGGTACAAGTTTTGCTGGAGAAATACAGACCTAACTTGAAAACAAATGAGACACTGAAACAGTAACAGCAGCAAAGAAGAAGGAGAAAGAAAAAAGAAATAGTTTTCAAATCTATTTAGGAGTTGGAAATAAAAGAATAATTTGGTCAACTAATGAGTTGGCAGCATTTCTAGATTCAGCTTCTAAGGGGAAAACTGAAACCATAGTTCAACAGGATACAGATTTTGATCTGTTCTTGACAGCTAAATAATACATCTTCCGCCAACTCCTCGTTCAAAGGCAATCCATGTGTACACTTCATAAAAGAAGTTTTCTGATGCAGAGCATGAGAAAGTTGTACAGAAAACAAATTGTAGCTGTTTAAATGCAGAAAAGGTTCAACACTGTATTGATCTCTAATAAAAGGTGGTCAAGGCTGAGCTGGTGATACCTGTTATTAGACCAACAAATAAGTGTTAATCTCCTGCTTTAAACATATGACTGTTCTCTCTCCCTTGTGGAACACTCTTATTAGAAATCTATTGTTGTTCTGTGGACCTCAGTAGGAAGGATATAATTCTTTATTAAGTTGTGTAGATTGTTTAAAGTAACTTCTATAGAAACGAACATGGCTTATAACACCCATTGTAATGATCTCATTTGAAAATCTAGCTACTTTTTTGATACCTAAATAAGAGTTGAACTCTTCTGAAAATCTAGCTTTTGTTGTGGTTGCTGAGCTCTGCTAAAATTAGTCTATGTTGTGGACTATTCTATGGACAGGAAAAAAGACTCTGCAGGATCAGACCAGTACCCCAATTTAGTCAAAGATACAGTGTACAGTTGAGAGTCACAGTGCACGGATTTGCATACTGTGGGGTTAGGAATAGTTCCCATCCATTTGTAAATCAGGACCTTTATACCAACCCTGGGTTCTCTATTCACACTGTTCAATTATAATTTATATAATTTGTCATTTTTTACTTGAAATTTCAACTGCAGGTACTTTAGTCCTGGCTTAGCAATCAACTTCATGTTCAGTAGAATAAAAACAGGTTTTAGAATAATACTTTCATTATTTCCTTTAATTATATCTTTTATGTAATTGTAATACAATAATAAAATAAAATTATTCTGTAAAGGGAATGTTTAGATTTTAGTTCAGATAGCCAATATGTATGCGACTGACAGTAGCCCATTCAAATTTAAAGTTTAGGTACTTATCCCGGAATGCTAATATTTGATCTCAAGTTAATAAAAACAAAACAAAGCAAGCAAGCAAACAAAGAAAAACCTCTCTTCAAAGCCAACATTTTCAGAGACTCCTATTTCGGTCATTTTAAAGCCTTTTGCCATTTTTTTTTCAAATATACCCAAGTGATTTATGAGCCTAAGTCCCATTTTGAAAAGTGATTTGGCACTGCTAAATTACTGAGGTACTTTTAAAAAATTTACACATTATTGTTTCTTGCAACATAAAATAAAATAATCTAGTTCCTCGGTTAGACTTGCATTTTCTGGATTTTTATTCCTGGTAGTCCTTTACAAATCTTTGTATTTCTAATGGTTGCCTTTGCCCTCTTGGGAATACAGTTTAATGACTGTAAATCACACACATGTTGTAGCAGTTCCCTCACTGAATTTCCCACTCTGTGGATGTTTGACTGTCAACATAGTCTATCCTCAAGGCTGGCAGCTCTCATATCGCTGAGTCTACAGTAATTGATCGTAAGCACAATAATCATCACAACAATCAAAATCTATGTTGGGTTTGTTCCTTTTTTAGATGACTGCTCGCATGCTTTGTGCCATATAACTGATAGCTTGCTGCAAGGTAAAACGATAAACAGAAAATATACTATACATAACTTATTGTATTAAAGATTTAGTATGGTTTTTAAATTAGGAATTTATTATAATTAATGTTTTGGACCATTTCACAATACTTCCTCAGGGAAAAATAATGAACTCAACAGCTTTCAAATGAAGTTTAGGTAACAGAATTAGCATTTGATTAAATATAAACACAGGAATTCCTTAATATGGAAATAAGGCAACTAGGAGGATTGCATAATCACATCAAGATTTGGTTCTATGCATTATGGTTCAGGAATGATTACAATAAGAAAATGTTGTGTGACTAACAGGTGTGTATGTTTATATTTAATGAAACAGTGATTTTCTTAATCTACTCCATATAATAGCTGTTGAGTTCATTATTTCACTCTGAGGAAGGTTTGTGAAACAGTCTGAAGCATAGGTTGTAAACTATAGTGCAATTTGCACAATAAATTTCAGTGAACTGGAATGCTAGTTTAATGATATTTGTTTAGTTATGACTTCTCAGGCTAAGTACTTCAAAGAAAGGCCAATTGTGGCTAAACCAGAAGATTTTTCAACACAGAATTGCTATGTAACCTACCCCATTGTGAAGAGTTAATAGGCATCCAGTTGGCCATGGAGCACTGAGGCCAACAATGAAATAATTTAGGCTTGCTGCAATTCCTGCATACTTAATGCTTTAGGAATGCTTTCATTTGATTAATATTTAATTGATGAGAAAAGAACAGTAATGAACATGAGTTTTCCTGATGGGAGGATTATTTTCTTTCCAAGCCTGAGTTGTTTCCCACAGAAATTGCTGGCCTATCAAGCATAAAAGGCCTAATTATCCCCTCTGCCATGCTGATGGGGGTGGGGGGAATTGGTATTGGGAGGTATGGGAAATTTGCAGAGCTAGTTAGGGGTCCTATGGCAGGGGAAAGTGCTGCTCCACAACTTGATTCTCCCTTTTTTCTGACCCCATGGAAGGTTCCCTATTAAGGCTATCCAGGTATTAGGATCCATGGCTGTGGAAGTTCAGACTAGAGGCAAGAAGAAGTATGGTTGGCCATTCTCTGTCAAATCATCCTAAATCCTCAGAACTTTGGTGGGTACGTTTTTAGTGCTGACCATATCGGTCAGCATTACATTTCTAATAAGCATTAGTGAACTAAGTGAGCAGGTTTTTTCTGGTTTCAGTTCCAGCTCTTCTAATCCCTTTTGTTTTGGTCTGAGCTGTCTCCTCCATATCACAGTTCTAGATGTGTTTGTCCTTGGCATCCCAGAAAACTCTCACCTGCATGCAAGTGGTATGTCCATACACCCCTTGCAGTTCACCAATGTTTCTGTCAATATTTTCTGAAAGTAAATCAGAGTTATATAATAATAACTAGCTCTTATATAGCACTTTTAATATGTAGACCTCAAAGCACTTTGTAAAGGAGGAAACTATCATTCTCCCCATTTTACAAATGAGGAAGCTGAGGCACAGAGCTGTGAAGTGAGTTATGCAAGGTCAGTAGCAGAGTCAGGCACAGAATCCAGGTCTCCCTGTCCGGTGCCCCATCCACTGTGTTTCATTTGCAAAAAGCAAAGCTGAATTCAAGTTAAGCTGAACAAGCGGAATTGTAATAAACTCTGTGGTCTACTGGCTTAGTTGTTTCCAGCCTAACTCACTTATTACACTTGTGTCCTGTCAACAGGGCCGGCTCCAGGCACCAGCCCTCCAAGCATGTGCTTGGGGCGGCACCTGGAGGGGGGCGGCGCTCACCCGGGGAGAGCGGAGCCACGGCCGGGCTCTCCACCCTCCCCATGGCGCTCCGGCTGCCAGGGAGAGCGGAGCCGCGGCAGGCTCTCCGCCCTCCTCCCAGCGCTCCGGCCGGTCGGGGAAAGCGGAGCCCCGGCCAGGCTCTCCGTCCTCCTCCCGGTGCTCCAGACAGTTGGGGAGAGCGGTGCCCCGGCCGGGCTCGCCACCCTCCCCCCCGGCGCTCCGGCCGGCCGGGAGGAGCGAGGCTGCCCTCCCCTGGCGCTCTGGCTGGTCGGGGAGAGCGGGGCCCCGGCCGGGCTCGCCGCCCTCCCCTAGCGCTCTGGCCAGCCGGGGATAGCGGGGCCGTGGCCGGGCTCAGCACCCTCCCCTGCCGTGCTCCCGGGGGGGAGCGGCGGGAGGCTTTTTTGCCTGGGGCAGCAAAAAAGCCAGAGCCGGCCCTGCCTGTCAACAATCCCTTCAAAGACATGGGCCCTCTGACTCCAGTTCTACTGATCACAATACACACTGGCAGGGCTGATGAGAGAGTAGAAAGGGAGGACAATTGTACCAGGGATCTCAGCTTAGGGCCAGGATCAAATGGGAGCGGGAGAGGCCCCAGCGAACATAGTATACCAGGGCCCCAAATGGCTCTCGGTGCGTTTGCACACTCGACAATAGGCTCCAACACTATTCTACTTGAAGACCCTAGCAAAACACCTATTAACATGGAAGGGGCCAAGGGAAGGGCCATATGATACAAAGCAGTATTCTCTTAATTTTCTGTTTCTGTTCTTCTCTCACTATACCTGGAACCTCTCATGGTGCCTGCATTTTTCCAGAGTTACTTCTGGTGAGATATTGTTCCTCTCTTAGGTCACCAACGGGAACAAATATAGTCCCATGCTCTTTTCCATCCCCCCCCCTTTTTTTTTGCTATGCTTATGGATGCATTTCATGACTTTGACAAGCGGTTATTTATCCAGTTCCATATTCATAGGAAGTAGTTCAATCTGCAGAGCTTCCATGCTCCTATGTTTTGCTTTTTTCAATCAGCCTATAGAAAACTGAATACTATACCAACCTGTGCAAGGGAATGATCATGTCTATCCAATCGATAAGATCAACATTGCTCCTCTCATGTCTGTGGAGAAGTTTTGGTATGTAAGCAGTATGATGTTACAAAATGCCACTATTGATGAGATTACCTATCATATCGCTCAGACCAGCTCTGCATTTGTAATTCTGTCGTATTATCTGTGGAACAATAGGAGAATTCAAATAAGCTCTAAGCTAAATGTCTATTAGGCAGCAATGGTTACAACGCTTCTATATGCTTGTGAAACACGGACACTGGATCCACTACCACATTAGGAACCTGACCTGTTCCATATGCGCTGTCTTTGGTGTGTTTGCAGGGTCAAACTGTGGTATAAGGTTCCCAATATTGAAATCCTTAATCATTGTTGGATGGCTGACATTCAAAGCATGCTCATAAAAGCTAAACTGCAGTGGTCTCAGGATCTCATTCATAAAACCTGCTTAAGAACATCCGAGGCCTTGTTTTATGGACTGCTAAAGCAAGGCATCCCAGCAAGAGGGAAGCAAGAGCCCATGACAGAGCAAAATGGCAGCAGGTTTGTCATGTCTCTGTTAACCACTTTGAAGCATCATGCATTAACACCTCAAGTGAAAAACATGAAAAGTGCAAAGACAGGATTCCACAGCCTGCAAGAGTCATGTTCCACATGTAACCATGTTTGCAGTTCTTGCTTTGGTCTGACCTCACATATATGTGTTCACCAGTAGTATTTACTGAATCCTCATATATTGACTTTGACATTGATGTGAAACTCCATCATCATATGATGGTGCTCTGAGAACTCTGTGCCAATGTGAAGTATGGGTTACAGCTGCCTCATAAGAAAAGGTACATGTTAGCTAGGGTAGGTATTTTTTCCCGGTGATGGGCTAGAGGAGGCTTTAGGGTGATACCTTTATAAAAGTCTTTCACCCAAATGAAAGAAAGTGTGGGGCAATTTCCTTGCCTCTAATAAAGTTCACCCCTTTTCTGCCTGCTATTAAATCATCCCTACCAGAATTGATATCTCTGAGGCTCAGAAAAATGTTCTGGAGAGCAAATACTTGGCTTTTGGAATGAATTAAAGTTACATCAAATGGCAGGTATTTAAAATTCTCCATGGTAAAGTACACCAGATGCCCCTTTAAATGCTTTTTCCTCAGTTCTCAGTTCAAATAACATAAAGACACTTTTCTGTACTATCAATATAGTAAGTGTTTTTCCAGGACAAAGTAAACATTTCCAGCAAATGCACTTAATGTCTTTTTGTTTGCCAACCTGTGTTGCCTCCCTCTTTAGTAATGGGTATGAGAAAGCATTTTTCTGTTTCAATAAGAAAACAAAATAGATTTCTCAGTCTCTCACCCATCCTATCTGTAAGTGCATGCACCACTGGGACACAAGGATGATTAAAGGGGAATTTTCATGGAAGCCCCTTGTTAAATAGTGGTAGCACATCATTATCAGTTTGGAAACTCTCTGAACATGGACTATGCAAAACCATGTTTTTGTGTTGTTAGTTTTTTTGAGACTTGGAGAAAAAGGAAGACCCTTTTTAAAATTCAGTTTAAACACCTGACTGTGTGATTTTATTTCATTTGACAACCAACCTCTGAAACAATCAAGTGACTAATCCAGATTCACTATTTTATTAGCATGCTCTATAATGTGACATACATATATCTCTTACACTTAAATTAATGGGATATAGGTTATTCAAAGAGATAATGTACTCTAAATTATTCCATATGCGCTGGGCTATACCTTAAGTCTTTTTGCTCCTAAAGCACAAATTCCATCCCAACTAACTTGAACAAGAATATCATTTACTTACAGAAATCTTAGGAATTATGAAACACGGGGGAACATGTCTCACATACAGTCCTGTTGTAGACAGGGGTTAGATGCCCACTAGCTAGTGTGTTGCATAATCTATAATTAAAAATAAATCTGAAAGGGATTTTTTCTATAGGGAGGCTTGTTTTCTAGCCCAAGGTGAATATCTCACCTGACAAAACATCAGTTGTATTTTTGCCATAAAAATGCCAACAGTCAAGCGCTTTTCCTGACTGACTGAGGATAAATTACTACAACATCATTGCAGGGTGATGATATATAGGCTAATGAAAAGGTAGTGATTGCAAGACTATAATTCATTGAAATAGCTTGGAGATGCAATAGATACTTGATAGAAACTTCGGAATTTAACACTACTGTCAGTGATAGATTCATAGACTTTTGTGGCCAGAAGGGATCACTATGAACATCTAGCCTGACTTGCATACCACATATAGGATGGATGTATAGATTATAATTGCTGATTCATACATGAGCTACCGTATTTTTCTAAATGTATATTTACTGTCTTATCACTAAGCCAAATCTCAGTATTTTGGCTGGTGTGGGACTTTTCAGGCCCTCAAGACTTACTGTAAAATCTCAGGATTTGGGGGGGGGTCACAGCCTGGAGCGTTCCTGGTGCCATGACAACAGGTATAGCAGCTGTGAAAATGGCATTGACTAGAACAGAAAGGTAATACAGGGTCCAGGCTGATGCAAAGAGGACAGTTGTTGAGTTCTTGAATACCCCATTGTCTGGATTCACTTATAGTTGATACAGTGTATAACTGGTGCACAAAATAATTGAAGTTTGTATGATAACAGGGTTTTTTATGTTTGTTTGTTTTGTTTTAATTGCAGATATATGAGATACCTAAGTGGTGTAGGAGAGCCATCAGAGAGGTAAATCTTAGAGTTTTCAGTTTCCCATTATAGTCAGATGTGAATACTGCTCTATTACACAATTTCTCTGGTTATTCATAGATTGCCTGTGTACTATTATGATTCTAATATCTGGGGAAACAAATAATGTTTACAATAGGCAGGTTGATACAGTTCTGTCAAAGCAACAGCTTCAGGAGTGTCACCAGGTTATGCAGCTGCCTCTCCAGTACAAGAGCAAGAAGACATCTCCTGGAAATAGAAAGGCAATATATTTAAAACTAATACAAGAAAATACTGTTTACACAATTCATAATTAACCTGTGGAACTCCCTTCACAGGTGCTCAGTAGGATTTTTAAAAACAAGAATTAGACCTTCACATGGATAATGAGAGCATCCACAGCTATATTTGATAGGATAATACACAGACACACCCCATATATATATATATATGACATGAACTGTCACGTTTCAGGCCTAATTAAACTGATTGTGGTTAGGAAGAACCTTTCCCTGTGAGTGGATTATTGTATAATTATCAATTATTGGATTATTTGCACCTTGATCTGAATCATTAGTCAGAATCAGGCTACTGGACTAGATGGCCATTTGATATGACCCAGTATGGTGATTTTTTGGTTCTTATAGTGTTTGCTGGTTTTGCTCTAGTGCTTCATATAAGGTATTACTGACTCAATGACAGGGTCGGCTCTAGGATTTTTGCCGCCCAAAGCAAAAACAATTTTGGCCGCCCCCTCCCCCCCGGTTCTTTAATTACCCC